TACATGGACCTAGTAGCCCCACCCCTCAGCCATGGTGATCAAAAATTTGTTTGGATATTGCCCAAGGAGAATCACAGTTCTACAGTTTAATGTATAGGTACTCCCTGAAATAATTACATTATCTGTGCATCTTTTTTATTTCTTTACAGTGAGTTTAATTAAAAGATAGCAAGAATAGTGTTTGTTTCAGTTAAGAAGGCAGTGAAATTTTATGTGCATTTCCAAGAAGGATGACAGGAATGGATAGATGAGAAGAATGATAAGAAGGATGAACTTAGTATAGAAAGGGGTGGGCAATTCTGACTGAAGAGTTTGATGCAATAGAAACGTGAAGGCCCTGGAGCCCATGGTCCACATGCTACTTTTGACAATGACCAGTAATCACAGAATTCTACTTACCTACTTCTTTCTTTCCTGTACATAGACTTTTCATTTTGGGAAACGTATGGGTGCTAAACTTAACTCATCTCTGAGAAAAAGTGTACGTTGATAAATAGCCATTTGGAGTAAGTCCTTGCTTGGATTTGTAATCCCATTCTAGTGGGTTGCATTATTATGCAGGAAAATAAATATAAACATATGAAAAACCCTAACAGTTCCTCACAATTTGATAAACTAACATCAATTTAAAAAACCTCTATGCATTCCAAAGGAATACTTTTGAGAGTCTTTTATAAAAATACCTCCTTAACTTGATTTCATAAGTAGCCAGAACAAGGCTCAGATTCATTTACCTACACCCCATTTCTTCAGGAGGAAGAAGGCTCAAGATAGAACGGCCAAGACATCAATGTGGTTTGTTCCATTACACCGTCACGTTCTACTCAGCTTCTGTTGATTGGTTCTGTGAAGATCAGCTACAAAGGGCTGGGTTCATTGGCTTTTTAACTGGTAATGAAAAAGGTTAACACTACAATGAAACACTTTTAATGCTGAACCAGTCACCAGCCTCCAAGTTTTTACTCTTATCTTGGAAGCACAAGTTAATCATTAGGGTGATCCACCATCCCAGTCTGCCCAGGACTTCCCCTGTTTTGCTACGGAATGTTCCACACCCTAAGAAACCCCTTGGCCCCAGGGGCAAATGTGAATAGGGGGTCCCCCTCTGTGAGTTCTGAGTTTTTGACAGAGTATTAATTAAAGTTAACTTTTAAAGAACGTTTTCCAAGAGTTGGAAATAGAAGGTCAAGAATAGTCTCCAAATCTACCTTTTAAAGAAAAAAAAATCCGTGTAACAATAAAGTAGCACTTGGCATTTGGAATAGGCATTTAACTAGCTGGTATGACTTCCAGGTATTTGCTGCTAGTTTGTAAAGATGAGCATTTCCAAGGGCAAGAGAACAATCTGTCTCAGAGCACTTCATTTAAGCAAGGACACACTGCCAACTTGAAAAGAAATAAAGGCCACATTTTCTCTTTGGGGGGATCCTGCAGTTATTCCCCTGCAAATTTAATTCAAACAGGTATTGAGATCTGAAACATGGAGATATCCACAAATTAGAGGATACTTGGTTTTTAAAAAAGAAAAAAAAAAAAAAGAAATCCAGGCCAAAGAGAACTACCTCAAAGCAGCTATAGTGGTTTCTTTTCATATTAATCACTGGATTCCTATGAACATGTTTTGAAAGTCAATACTGTGAATGAAATTTCTTGAGATATTCTTTGCATGAAATGTGCATATTATACATTTTAAAACTTAAAATTGTCTTCAAGTAAGCCAATTTTATTTTAGAAAACAGAATGCATATGTAAAATGTTCAAATCAATGGTATTCCGATACTTTGCTTTTAGAGTTATTAGTTATACAAATATGTCATTCTACTAGTGTATTAATGATCCCTTTAGAAAATGTAGTATTACTTGATTTTATCACCCCAAAATATACCTCTTTAGAATATCACCATCTTTAAATGATTTAGAGAAAATCTCCATTGGAAAATGCTCATTTTTTTTAAGCAATCTAAGAATCTACTTGACATAAAACTGATGATAACCTTTAGGACGTTTATTATATGTGCATTATAGGATGTACTTAATAGATTGTACTTGAGCCTATCTATTACATGAGAAAGATTTCTGTGAGAAGCCCTTTGACTTGGTCTGATATTAGGGTCCCAAACCAACTTGTAAGCAAAAATACCCAAAGGAAGTGTAATTATATTTAAACAGAAACTTGATTTTGTAATGGAACAGAGACACCTGTCACCACAAATCATGATCAACGTTAATAAAATTAGTCTAGAATCTATCTGTCTTCTAATCTCCAGGTTCCAAATAAGCTTGTCACTATAATTGTTATGATTTAACATATCCATTGTCAAAAGGTATGACCAAAGTGAACACAAATATTTAAGCCTCAAAAGCTTAAGAGAATTATGAGTTATTATTGAAGCTCAAGTACTGTTTTTCAAATTCTACTGGTATCTGCCAAAAGTTCAAAATATAGATGTAACTTAGGAGTCACCAAAATAAACTGTACTTTGTTTGGCCCTTCCCTTTTAAGACCCCCATTTCAAATGTAAGGGCTTTAAGATAAAAGCATTGAATTTCAGGCAGTATTGCAATTTCTTTTTAGTAATGTAACTGTAGAGTTCTTATATGTAACCCACATCTTATTTTGGCTCCTACAGGCTAATCTTGCAAGATTTTGAAATTAGTATATTCTGTGAAGTATTCAATAACGATATGACTAGTGTCCACCTCAAGACATAGGTAATGACCACATTTTGATTCTTATCTCTCAGACCCCAGTTACACAGATTATAATCACAAGTGTATCAGAGATACCCAGTGTCATACCACTGGTTTCAATTAACTGCATGTACATTACATAAAATGTGGCCTACAGCCAATAGATGGATTAGAAAGCAATAAAAGCTAGAGTAGCTGAAGTTGAACCCAAACACACACACTAAAAATATGGCATCTTTTAAAAAAATCATAAGTATACCAAGAGTGAAACTTGATATCAGGAAAAGTGATTGGAAGCCATCCAGGTCCTGAAATGGTTTGTGGTTTAGGCAATTTTTTCTCTTAATTGGCCACCATCTCTTCACTGTGGTCTCCTTTCCTAGTTAAATGCTGGACTTCAGAAATGATGCAACTATAGCAGAAGGCTTCAGTGCTCACTAGAGACAAAAGAACCAGGTCTGTAAATTCAGGCTGACAAGTGACTACCCCAGACAAACCGAAAAATCTGGTCCAGCTGTTTTGCTATGTTTGACACTAGCTGGCTTTGAGATTAAAAATATAACTTCCTGCCCCTACAAAGTTTAAGTTAAAAATGGCTGTTTTTTTTTTTTAAGAGCATCAGAAGGCTTTTATACATAGTATCAAATTGAGCATTGAATCAAGCACATCGTGACAGAGAAAATTGACTCCCATTGATAGCTGGTTTAAAAAAATAAACTAAGCAAACCGTATCATCTGAAAATAGGTTTATCATGGAAACAGCATGTTAATGGAACCATATTCCCAGTAGCTTTACAATTTTCCAGGAAAGTCTTACTTTGCCACCAGTATTCAAAGAAACAAAATAATACACTGGCTTTCTATATTCTATATAATTTAAAATTAGTTATTTTCTAAACACAAAGCCTGGTGTCGATTTAAGTATGTATTTTAAAGGTTTTTAAGCCCTGCATTATAAAACCTTTCTGCATCAAATTTATAGTTACATCTCTTTAAGGACACCCACAATAAGAGTGCTTTATATTTATTCCTTGGATAGAGAAGAATAATTTTAAATTTTCCCCCCAGAAAATATCCAATTGAATTGTCTTGTGAGGAGACATGTTTTAATTTGTTTTAAGAATTTCTAGTTTTTGTGTGTGTATATATGATAAAACCTTCTTATATATTTACATTAGGTTAATGTAACAAAGAAAAAAAAATATAAAATTGCATCCTGGTACTTAAAACTGAATGTTGTATTTTCAATTAGATTTACCTTTTGTATTTGCCTTAAAATAATGATGACTTTTAAGACAATTGCCTTATAACCATGAAAGTAACTCTATTGTATCAATGGCCTTCATTTTAGCCCCTTGTCATTTTATCACAAAGTGTCTTCATGGAAAATTTAATAAAGATATTTTTAGACTGTAAAGGAATAAGAGACTTGTTTTTCAAATGTACTTGAGGTTTTCCATCTGGCATTTTCCATTTCTCATAATCTTATTTCTATATTGTAAAGTGTGTAAGTAAACTTTGCATCTCTATTTTATAAAAGGTAATGTGTATATACTTATGTGTATATGTATATATACACTATATATATACACTATATATATTATATATATATATATATTTATATATAAATTCTGACTAAGAGTAGACCAACTAGAGAATGCCTCTGGAAAAGGTTCCTTGAACAATATAAAAATGGAGTCTTCAGAAGCAAACAACAAAACAGCCTTATACATCCAACTGCTGTTTAAAATGCTTATAAACACAGTCAGTTAACCATTTATTTGAATACCTATGAAATGTTTTGAATGTCCAAGATTATGGAAAATATAATACTTCATAAAAATTGTGATAAAGGTGACGGTTGCTGATTTAAAAATAAACCTCCATATTATAAAAAGTCATGTAAATTTACTCCTTGAAAGAAAAAAAGCTTTACTATTAAGAGTTCTCTCTTTAACACTCTTCTTTGAGTAAAGAAATAATTTTTAAACTTCTATTTTATATTGTTACTGTCATGAATGCGTATCTTTTCTGCAGACTTCACAACGTTAATCACAATGCAAAGAGGATAACTGCTTGGAAGAATGGGCGCGAAGGCTTAAAGACAGCCTTTTTCATTGAATTCCTGAATTTATATACTGTGGGACTGGCCACTAGACACTATAAAATATAAAGATTCATAGTTTAGGCAGTTTCAACTCTATTATTTTCAGGCACAAGAACCATATAATTTTGTACAAAACTTTGATATTTTTATTTGCGAAATTAAAAATATGGTATTATATATATATATATAAACTTCTATTCCTCTATAAATATAGATGACTTTGTGATAGTGAACAGAATAAATGCATACCAAAATCAAAGACCATTGTCATTTTAGGGTATGACAGACATAGGTAAATTTAGGTCCTAAGTACCGGCATTTTGATAAACTCTTAAAGTTTACAATACAATCAGGAGGGTTGCTTTTCTCATCTTTTCCACAGAGAACTAAAGTGAATATTTTAAAATGGCTTTGAAAGATTTACATTTGATACATTTCTGTAAATCCAAGAAGGAGTGCACAGGATTTAATGCAGCCGACCTGCAGACAGTCTGAGCATGCATGCCCATATTTTGTTTATTTCAGGAGCTAATCCTTATCAATTATTCCACCTCCTTTACTTCCTTTACCAGGTTGTTAATAATGATGTGGATTATTCCTCCCTCAGACTGTGTTGCTGAGTAAGAATCGTAATAATATGTTGAAAGTACAACTTTTACATTTTAAAGTTTTTGATATATGTCTAATTATTGTTTGACTAAAAAATCAGAAAGTAGCACTGCATTTTGAGGAAGTCCATTACACTGAAATCTCCTTCAAGTTTTCATATTTAGTTTACATCTGCTGTCCCGTTAAGGAGAGTAAAGATCAACGCAAAGATCAACTCCTTGACAAAGCTTTCCAGGTGACCTCAACGTTTCCATTTTACAGAGCGCTAAAAATCTAAACGCGAACTGTCTCCGTCCCAGAGGCAGGTTGCCAGGCATCGGTATACAATTAGAATGAACATTTTATAACCCCCATCTTCAGTCTCTCCCAACCCACACAAAGCTTCATGCCTCTTCCCAAATCTCAGTAACTACATCTTTCCATGACGCTGGCCAAACTCATACCAGGTTTTAGACACTAGAGAATGAAATGAGCTCATCCACCAAAAATTAGACTTTAAAAAGTTTGGCATTGCTTATCCCACTCACCCTCTAACCGACTTAGGTGGAAGGAGGGAGTGTCTGGGCATTGGAGGCCAGTGCGGAGGGAGGGAGTCTGGGACTGCCGGTAACCACAAACCACGGGCCTCCTTGAAGCTAGGAGAAAGGTTCTCGACAGTGAAAAATTCAGCTTCGGGAAGTCAGGGATAAATCTGGCCCTGAACAAGGGCCGACTTGAAAGCTTTAAAGTTCAGGACCTTATGATCTACAAACTCAAACTAAGGAGGGGAGGGGAGGGAGCAGAAAAAAGAGGTGGGAAGTGACCCGAACAGCGCTATCCCAGACGTACCCATCCCAGAGCTGCAGGGAGGGGCGCGCGCGAACCTGCGAGAGCACCCGGCGGGTGCGCTCCGGATTTATCTCGGCGGTACTCCGAAAAGGGAAAGAAGGGAAAGCCTCGACTGGTTAAACCGCCCTAGATAATTCAAATTTAAACCAAAAAGGGAAGGAAAGAAAACGCATGATCAGTCATTTAAATACAAATATACTTACAAAAATCTTACACAGGCTATTTACAATCATAAAAGCGTACAGTGCTGGTACCAGCGAGAGGTCGGTCCATCCCCCCTCAAGAAATTGGGCCCTCGAGTCCGTTTGCCCCCAGGGACGGAAGCTTTTTGCAGGAGCTATGTTGTTAAAAGAAGCCTGCGAAAGTGTCTAGTGAGGAAGCCTGTAGTAGCCAGGCTTGGTCAGAATTCCATGGGGGAAGGTTATGGGGGTGGCTGAGGGCTGGGAATGGGCTGAGCACGCCCCCAGGTCTCAGACGGTGGTCTCCCCCTGTTTGCTGTTGGTGAGTCTGGTGTAGAACTTTCTCCAGGAGTTGAGGGTCTTGCCGGACCAGATCCAGAAGCCGGACGTGATGCCCACGATCAGCGTCATAAGATACTTGATCATGAAGACTGTGAAGTCAGGGCTCATGGGAGGATGCGGCGGGGCCCCTCCACCGGCTTGGAGGTGGGGGCAGGGGATGGCATAGGTCTTGCAGCTCTGGGCCACCCAGCTGCGCTCCCACTGGTCCCGGAAGGCCTGCTCGTAGAAGTAGCAGGCAATGACTATGGTGGCTGGCACCGTGTAAAGCACGCTGAAGACGCCGATGCGCACCATGAGTTTCTCCAGCTTCTCGGTCTTGGTGCCATCGTGTTTCATAATGGTGCGAATGCGGAAGAGCGACACAAAGCCGGCCAGCAGAAAGGATGTGCCGATGAACAGGTACACGAAGAGAGGAGCCAGGACGAAGCCACGCAGCGCGTCCACGTTGTTAAGCCCCACGAAGCACACCCCGCTGAGCACATCGCCATCCACCTGGCCCAGCGCCAGGATGGTGATGGTCTTTATGGCCGGCACGGCCCAGGCGGCCAGGTGAAAATACTGCGAGTTTGCCTCGATGGCTTCGTGGCCCCACTTCATGCCGGCCGCCAGGAACCAGGTAAGGGACAGGATCACCCACCAGATGGAGCTGGCCATGCTGAAGAAGTAAAGCATCATAAAGAGGATGGTGCAGCCCTCTTTCTTGGTGCCCTGCGCCACTGTGCGCGCCCCGTCCTCGGAGAACTTGTCGTTACACACCACCCGGTCCTCCAGCAGGAAGCCAGCGATGTAGGCCACGGCCACGGCGGTGTAGCAGCCCGAGAGGAAGATGATGGGCCGCTCCGGGTAGCTGAAGCGCCGCATGTCCACCAAGTACGTGAGCACCGTGAAAAGCGTGGAGGCGCAGCACAGCACTGACCAGATACCGATCCAGGTGCGCGAGAAGCGCAGCTCCTCGGGCCCAAAGTACATGAGCCCGTACACCTTGGTCGGCTCACACGGCGCCCCGCAGTCCTTCTCCCCCAGGAAGTGGTAATTGAGGTAGGAGGGCACCTTGAGGGCGCGCGGGCATGAGAACTTGCCTCTCTCTGACGCTCCGGCGCCCCCAGGAAAGCCGCCGCCTCGGTGCCCCCCGCCGCCGTGCTGAGGGTTGCTGGTCCAGAATTCCGGCAGCAGAGAGGGGGTCGGGGTGCCCTTGTCCGACGTGTTCTGGCCCACGCACAGCTCGCCGGCTCCGTGCACCGGGAACTTCTCGCACTTGAGCGTGTCGGGCCACTGAAAGCCAAACTTGTTCATGAGCGCCTCGCAGCCCTGGCGCGCGCGCTCGCAGAGGGAGCGGCAGGGCGGCAGAGCCTGCTCCAGCACGGTGCACACCGGCGCGTACATAGAGCACAAGAAGAACTTGAGTTCGGCTGAGCACTGCACCTTTACCAGCGGGTAGAACTGGTGCACCTCGAGGCCCGCATCCTCCTGGTTCGTGTGGCCCAGCAGGTTGGGCATAATGGTCTGGTTGTAAGCGATGTCCGTGCACAGCGGGATAGAGATGGGCTGGCAGTAGCCGTGGTCCGGGATGGAGATGCCCCGCTCGCCGTTGTACTGTTGCCCGCTCTGTTGCTGCTGAGGTGGAGGTGGCGGGGGCTGCTGACCTGGCCCGGGCCCTTGGCCCGCTGCCTGCGCGCCGACCCCAAGCAGCAGCGGAGCCTCCAGTAGCCAAAGCAGCAGCAGTAGCCAGCGCGCCAAGCGCCAGGAGTCAGCTGGGGGGAGGCGGCGGCGGTGGCCAGCGTCCCAACTCCCCTCTGCCACCAGCCCAGCCGGGAGAGCCCCGGCACAAAGTTCCCAGCACCCGCCGGCAGCGGCGGCGGCCCGGGACTTTTTAGGCGCCTCCTCCTCAGCCATACTTTCTCGGCTCCTTTCTTTGCGCCGCTCGGCTGAGGCTGGAGGTGGCGCGGCGGGCGGCGGCTCCCCCTGTAGCCGGGAATATCTCCTCTGCGCCGGTGCCCTCCGTCGAGCCCGTGCCGCGCTCGACCCGCTCCTCCGGCTCCCGCTCCGCGTCCCGCAGCCTCCGCTGCCGCGGAAACTTGCGATTCATGAAGCGCGGGCGGCGGGGATAGCCCGGGTGGCTCGGGCGCGCCGGGGTCGCGTCCCGCCTTCCTGGCCCTCGGCTTGCTGTCTCCCGGCTGGCGGCGCCGCGCTAGTGGCCGCGGCGAGAGAGAGCGCGCAACTCTCGGCAGCCCAGCGGCCTCGGCTCCCCCCTACGCCTCCGCCTCCTTCTCCGCCGCCGCCGCCTGACCATTTGTGTCAATCCCTCAACTCGCTAGCTCTCCGCTCCCTTGCGCGCCCTCGGACCGGTTTCCAGGCGCCCCGCAGTCTGTCTTTCACCAGAAGGGAGGAGCCTTGAAACCGACGCGAAACTGGAGGCTCAGGGACCGTCGCCCAATCGCGGCTCTGGCTTCCCCGCGCAAAAGGGCGCCCGCCGCCGCCAGCGTCCCTGAGCGAAAGTCCGCAGCGGGCGGGAGGAGGAGGAGGCAGGAGGCGGAGGAAGTAGTAGTGGTGGCAGAGGCACTGCTCAGGCACAAAGACTGGGTTTGCTACCAAGCGGGACAGGCTTGGTTGCTTTTGCTTTTGAGGAAGAAAGGGAGAGGACAAGTAGGAGAATGGTCCCATATGCTGCTGGAGATAATGAATAGAAGTCGGCTGACCGCGGGACTTAGCTTTGCTTTGCTTTTATCCATTTTCATGTTTAAAAATCCTGCTTTTTAACGCTGGTTACACAGGGTAAACCGAGCGAGGCGATCAGATGTCTTTGACTTAAGGAGCAAGCGCACGGCTTCTTTTGAGTTTATGTCTGTCGAGGTTTTGTTTAAAATATTACTCTAATAAACCCTAGAGCTCTCAGGCTGGGCTTGGCGGGCTTTGGATGCGCCATTTCCCCCAAGGAGAAGTTCACGGGATGGCTGTAAACTAAAAACAAACAAAAACAAGGACAACAACAAAAACTTTGATGGAATTTTAAAATTCAAGCCAGATGCGCAGTCTGCTACTATTCTCGTCGTCAATTCCTTTTCCTCCTCTTTAATTAAGACAGAAACAGAAGCAAAGGGAAACCACCCATTAAATATTTAGAGAGAAAAACTGAAGAAACCCGCCCCCCCTCCCCAGTCCGGGCCCCCAACAGCCCTGCTACCTAAGACCCCCGAGGTGGCTCCGAGCTGCACTGGCCCGGGGCCTGGGCCCTGGGTAGCTACCAGGAGCTTCCCAAAGCCCAGTACGCCCATGGCTGTAAGGGAACTTCTGGGAGGGTCAGATCTGGGCCGCTTAAGTAAAGAGGCTGGGCTGCAGCGTGGTCTTTCGCCCGTCTGCCGGGCTAAGGATTCCAGTTTAGAAAACAAAACAACGACGTCTGAAAGCTAAAAGCAGACTCTGCATCTTCTTGCTAATTTCAAGCAGCACAATCAATCGCAGCTGGCTTACATTCTTCTTGTTTTCTGTGTAAGATTTTTTTCCCAAATGGTGGTTTAACTACATGACTCAGTTTTATCAATAAAAGTGCCATTGTGTTATTAATTCTGCCTAGGATTTGTTGGCCTATGATTAGACTCTCTCGAGATACTTTTCTACAATTATTTTCTTTCTTCCTTCCTTTTCTTTCTCCTTCCTTCCTTCCTTCCTTCCTTCCTTCCTTCCTTCCTTCCTTCCTTCCTTCCTTCCTTCCTTCCTTCCTTCCTTCCTCCTCAGATGAGGACTTTTTTTGTCATCATTGTTTTCATTGCTTTCTTAGGGAGGGAGAGAGAGAACCATTGATTGGAGAGAAGCATCTATTGATTACCTCCCCTATGTACACCGCTGGGATCAGAGCCCACCACCCAGGCACTTGCCCTGGCTGGGAATCTAACCCACAACCCTTCAGTTACTGGATGATGCTCCAACCAACTGAGCCACACTGGCCAGGGCTAGAATTATTTTCTGTCTTTTTTTTTTTTATCCCTTTATTTGTCTAATAACTTCTTACAAAGCACCTATTATGCTATAAGCAGTGTTAGGTAGAAGAGTACAAAGATAAAACATGGCCCGGCCCTACAGGAAGGCAGAATACTATGGTGGCACAAGCTGGTAGATGAGTTATCTTAAGGCCCAGCTCAAGCTGAAGGATCACAAGGGAACCAGCCAGCCTGTGGAAGGGGTGAGGAGGGTTCTGATGGAGAGGTGGGTGGAAGGGGCAAAAGACAGGAGGAGCTCTGAAATGCTTAAATTGCTCAAAGGTATGGCGGGGGGGCGGGAGTGTGGCTGAGATATTTTGGGGAAAGCAGGAGAAAGTTTTAGTCCATGCTAAAAACGTTTGGGCTTAATTATACAGACAATAGGGAGCTACTAAAGGCCACCTTTCCCCCGTATAAGCAGGGGATGGCTTTACGGTGACTGAAGGAAGAGAACCTGGGGCACATTGTCACTGAAATGCTCTAAGATTAGTCTACACATGAAGGTCACTACTTAAGATGGGTATAATTGTTAAATAGGACAAGTGTCTCAAGGTCTGGGCTGTTCTTACTAAAGGCTATTCTTGCTAAATGTACAATATATCACAGTATTTTACAGATGCAGCTGTAACTGGATGAGCTTGACCGGAACCCAACCATAAGTTTAGCCAACTGTAAAGAGGGAATCAAAATGTAATTGACTAAATAGTGTATATGAGCAACGGCTAAGCCTTCCTTGGGAGAGACAGAGCTTTGGAAGTGAATCTCCTGTCTTCTTTACTTGCTGCAAGTAAATAAAACTATCTAAAGACAACCATATTTCATTCTTGAATAGAATACCCCAAGTGGCAAACACCTTAAGTTCGGCAGCGTTGTTTGTACTACATACTAACAGGGCACTGAATTTCATCACCATGCATGCTGGTGTCTCTAAAGAATATGTACTCATATTTTTATCTGTTAAAACAATATGACACTGTTTTAGAAACATATATTATTGTTCTTTAAATATCCGTGGGTTCAGTAAATTCATAAAATACATATTTGTTTTAAAGTGTTTCTGTTCTGGCCAAGTAGGGTGGTTGGAGTGTCATCTCAGTACACCAAGGTTTTGGGTTCGATTCCTGGTCACATACAGGAGTCGACCAATGGATGCATGAATGAGTGGAACGACAAATAGATGTTTCTTTCTCTCTCCTCTCCTCTCTCTTTCTCTAAAATCAATAAATTTAAAAAATGTTTAAGTGTTTCTGAAGCCCTTTGAGCATTTGTAGTATGTAACTGGTGACTTTATCCTCCCGCATCCTGATTTACAGTCTGCTGGAACCCTTCGATAGCCTTCTTCCCTGATGCTCATTCCTTCGCTAATAGTACCCCGCGCTTAGAAACTTCATCAAGCCATTTTCCTTGTACCATTCCTCTCTTGTGGAGCCTTATCTGCCCTGTGTTCCATTCTCTCAAGGTCATTCTAGGAGACTGGGCCACTATCACTCCAAACCCTTCTTTCCCAACGGGGTATGGCCTAGGGGCTATGGCAGGCCTCTCAGTTATGTTCCTCAGAGTAACTGACGCTCCCCTGCTTCCAAAGTTGTTCTGTTGAAATTCTTGAGCTTATTTTATCTTCCACCCAACAGTAAAGTTTATTAGGGAGAAGCTTAGAAGTACAGTGGTTGGAATTACAAAGAAAGAAAAAGTCATTTTTACCAGATTGTGGAACTGGAAGGAACTAACACCATCATATAGGAACTAGTTAATTTTCTCCAGTTTACAATTAAGAATACAAGGCCCAGAAATGTTAGGGGATATACTACAAGTTAAGTGGCCTCATTTGGCTTGATTTCATTAGATGCTGGTTTTAATCTTTTTTTATGTTTTTTCGAGTAACTGTCCTTTTTGGTTGTTCTTAATTGGTTTTTTGAGGAAGTTTTCAATGGTTTGTGTAAAATTAAAAAATATATATTTCCTGAAAGTTATCTTCCAAAGTTAGATTATTTTAAATGTCAATATAGTATTTTATTGATCAACCCTATATGATAAAGAGGAAGCTATCAAAATCAGGAATGGTTCAGAGTTGTAACTAATAACAATTAGTGTTATGTTTCAGGGAGGTTTGGAAGTAGTGGGTAACAAAAAATTTGAAGAAAAATATGAGCAGCATGTTTTAGTTTAATCTAAAATATATTATTTTTTCAGGATGAGGAAAGGTTTAAGATCCACAGATAAAAATTACTAAATAAGTATGAACTATTATGAACTTCTTCATAAAAATATTTCGGTTAGGTAAAAACTATAAACATAACCCAATTTCTTTTTGATACTGGTTTTTTAAGTATTAGGTTCAGTCAAGGTTTTTTATATCAAGATTTTGTTTTATCAGGCCCTTCTCAAATCTTCTGAAGTTTCTCCAGACTACTTATGTCAGGCTGAATGTCAGTAATGACCAGGGCTAGAAATCCAGTTCCAATTTCATACAGTTGAGTGCACGTGCACACACAAACCATGAAGTGACTGCTCCAAGTTCCCCTGGCAGACCTTGAGTTTGTAGGGAAGTTGTTTGTTGCTAGCTTGTGGGTGGGAGGTTTGAATCATCTTTGTCAAAAAACAGAGTTTATATGTAACGGTGGTTAAGACCCGATTTCTGAGCACCTACCATATGCATGTAGCATTGCTTTTCTTTTTATTATTTTATTTTATTTTTAGGGAAGAAAACCATTACATTTATGGCATCATAAACTTGGTAATAAAAATCATGAAAATTCCCTTTGGAAAAAGTTATCCCCACTCTGCCTCCCAATCTATCCTGCATACCTTTTGACAATTTTGACCTATTTTTCCCCCTAAACATTTACTTATTTATTTATTTGCAGGTTTTGTATTATATTTTTTCCATTGCTGTTTAGTCCCCTTGTACCCCTCTCCCCCCAGCAATCACCACGCTGTTGTCCCTGTCCATAGGCATTGCTTTTCTTAATGTACACTCTATGTACGTACGTTGTGTCACTTCAACTTTACCGCTCTTTGAGGCAGCTGCTAATTATAATGTTCTTTTAATAGATGAAGAATCTGAGACCCATGGCACTTAAATAATTTGTCCAAGGTCCTACAGCCAGTAAGTGTCAGAGTAGGCCTTATGTCTGACCAAAGTCCATAGACTTCCATTGAGTGAACATGTCCACTCCGAAAAATTATAGGAGCAAATGTGGTTTCTGGGTGTAGATCGTGGCAATTCCTCGGTATTTGACAGAGTTTTCTACACTAGGATAGAGACGGTGGGAGTGTCAATGCTGGGACTCACTGATGAGTTAGACAGCACTTTCTGGGTTGTATTCTGTGAAATACAGTAGCTTCCCCTAAGGGTGTTCTG